AATGGAATTTGATGATTCATCTAGAAGACTTGTAATCTTTATTCATCATTAGAAGAAGATCCTTTTGCACATACGGTTGTCAAAGGTGGGTGGAAGAAGAGGTCGATTTTTTTAATTTCCATATTAGAAGTCTTTGTATGTGAGACATTTTATCGATGTTATGCATATTGAAAAAAATGTATTTGAAAGTGTTATTGGTACGTTAATCAATATAAAAGGAAAGTCTAAGGATGACCTTAAAGCAAGGGAGGACATGGTAAAGATGGGAATAAGAACTGAATTAGGACCCATGAAGAAAGGAAGACGAACATATCTACCACTTGCTGCTCATACTCTATCTAGAAAGGAGAAAAACTATTGTTTAAGTTTCTAACTGAAGTTAAAGTTCCTGAAGGATACTCTTCAGGTATCAGAAGACTTGTGTCTATGAAAGACCTCAAGTTAAAGAGTTTAAAGACACATGATTGTCATGCCATAATGGAACAGTTTCTACCAATAAGTATATGTTCTATTTTTCCAGAAAAAGTAAGAAGCGTAATAACTAAATTGTGTTTTTTCTTCAGATCAATTTGTAGTAAGGTGATTGATCCTGAGATCTTACTGACATTGCAAAAAGAAATAGTTATTACTTTGTGTGAGGTTGAAATGTTTTTTCCTCCCTCATTTTTTGACATAATGGTACATCTAGTTGTTCATCTTGTAAAAGAGACACAGTTGTGTGGACCAGCTTATATGAGATGGATGTACCCTACTGAATGTTATATGAAAATATTAAAAGGGTACGTGAAAAATCGAAGTCATCCAGAGGGTTGTATTGTTGAACGATACATTGTTGAAGAAGCAGTTGAGTTTTGTACTGAATATTTGTCCAATGTGCAATCCATTGGACTCCCTAAATCTCATATTTTCAAAAAAAAAGGAAGGTAAAAAATTAATTGGAAATAAAATTGTGACAATATCTAGGGATGAACGGGATCAAGTGCATTTGTATGTTCTGCATAATGACAATGAGGTTGAGCCATATGTTGTAATGCATAAGGATGTACTCCGAGGTGAGAATCAAAATAGAAATGAAAATTGGGTAGTACGAGAGCACAATCAAAGTTTTATACAATGGTTTAAGGATCATATTTATTCAAAGTTTTATTCAGATCCCGCTTCAATAACAGAAAGGTTGAGATGTTTGGCATATGGTCCATGTTTGCATGTGTTTTCTCATAGCGCATACGCAATTAATGGGTACATATTTTATACCAAACAACAAGACGATAAAAGTACTATGCAAAATAGTGGTGTCACTGTGGTAGCTGAAGCAATGCAAATTTCAAGTATGAAGGACTTAAACCCCAAATATGAAAATTTGTCATATTTTGGGGTTATCTATCGCATTTGGATGTTTGATTATGATAAGTTTCAGATTCCTATCTTTGGTTGCAAGTGGATACATAATAGTGACATACAAATGGATAAGTAAGGATTTTTGCAAGTGGATCTTAATAGGACGGGGTACAAAGATGAGCCTTTTATTCTAGCCTCTCAAGTTAAACAAGTGTTATACGTCACTGACCCGAAGAGTACGAAATGGTCTATAGTGCTTTTATCTAACAAAGTGATTGATGATAAAAGTGTAGATCAAGGTGATATTGATGTTGAGAATGAGTCGTATATTAGAAACGATCGAGATGAGAATATTACAGCAGATGAATCGTATATCAGAAAGGATCATAATGAGGGAATTTGGATCAATCCATCAGTCTGCGTTCTTAAGAGACAAGTAATTCACAATCCAACCAAGAAAAGAAAGAGATGTTAGAGAAAGAGGTATTATAGTAAAATGTTATATATTCTGTCATTCATAAACTTATATATTTGTCATTTTATATACTCAATTGATCATGGAATTAGATATTTGGAATTATATATTTGGAATTATATATTTTTTTGTAATTATATATTTGTCATTAGATGCTTATGTTTTTCTTTATTATAGGTTAGATGACTAGTAACGAGGATCACCCATATGGTGATTCTATTAATGGTGTCAATTCATTATGGAGTTGAGAATTTTATAAGTTATATTGTCTTTCTTTCATTGATGAGAAATTTGAGTATAACTTTCGAGTTTCGAGTATAAATTCGAATAAAGTTTTGTTTTATCAATGGTATGAATTTTGATCTTTTAGTTTTGTTTCAGGTTATAGGTGCAGATGTAGAAGATAGAGCTAACAAGTTCATTGTTGTTATTTTTTAGAAATTCTCGAAGATAGTAATATGTAGATTAAACATCAATTTAGAATTTTAGAATTTTCAAGTTGTATCATCAATTTTCAAGCTGTTGTTATATATATAATCAATTATATATATGTAGATTTTTTGTATATGCAAATTTGATGCATATTTATTGGATTTAAGCTACCAAATCTGGTGCAAAATACGGTGGGAACCTGGTGCAGAATATGGTGAAAATATGGTGAAAATTTATTATAGATATTGGACAACGCTTTCTGTAAGTGAAAATAAGTCTAATATTTAAAAAAATTTGTGAACATTAGACAACGCTTAATGAGAAAAGCACTGTCTAAAGTGGGGAAAAAGCGTTGCCTAAAGTGGGGAAAAACGCTGCCTAAAATGGGAAAGTGCTGCCTAAAGTGGGGAACAGACAACGCTTTTAAAGAAAAGTGATGTCTAAAGTGATGCCTAAAAGATAAATAAAAGCGTTGTCTAAAGAGAAAGCGCTACTAAAGGGGTACTTACCAAAGCGCTCTCTAAAGAGAAAGCGATGTTAAAGAGGTGCATAAGCAAGCACTTTTAAAGTAAAAATGCTGCCTAAAGGGGACATATAGCAGCGTTTTTACATTAATTCAAAGTGCTGCATTTACTTATAGCAACGCTGGTTTAGGCAACACTTTAAAGCGTTGTCTATGACCAAAAAAAGCGCTGTCTATGTGCTTGTTTGGCATAGTGTGAAGATGTCAACCAGGATGTGCCAGACAATATGTATGACATGTTGATGACCAATTTTCAACATAGAGGAAGGATGAACAAGTTTCCCTTGTTGATTTTGAAGTAAATATAAAGTTTGTTCAAACAAGTGTCTCTGAGGCAGATGATGACAAAGATGTCTTGAAAATTGTGCATACTGTAAGAAGAAAGGTTGGTGGAAAGAGAATCCATGTGTATGTCTCCTCTTCTCACATGATTACTGCTTCATTTCATTATGAAACAAGTGTTATAAAGTGGAAGTATGTTGTCCAAAGAAGGATTGTTGGTGAAAAAGGTCTAGGTAAAGAAGCTCTTGATTGAAAAGAGATTTTGGAGTTGCTGAAAGAAGTTGGGTTAATGAAGATTCTAACTAATGTTTGTCCTTGGTATGAGAAAGTGGTTAAGGATCTCATTGAATGTAATGTTGAAGACAACGATGAGTATAGAAAAGTGTATGATAGAGGAAAGTATATGAAGCCTTCACCATTAATTACTAATTAATTAGGAAGAAGCAAAATTCCCTTTATTGACAAGATCATAACCAAGGAAAAGGAAGTCGAGGAAGAAGAATAAATTGCAAATGAGAATGCAGGAGAACTTTTTATTGAAGCACTAGAGTATAATGAATTTACGGAGCTTCATAGTAATGCTCAGTTGTTGAAGACAATGCTGAAACTTTTTTATCCTAGGTTGATGAAGAAAATTAAAGTTTAGAATAATGGTATTCCTCACGGGTTGCTGATTTTCAATTATAAGCTGCTTGTGGGTAATATGTCTCATACATTATGTCCAATATCCGTGTACCAATTGATGAATCTGATCTGGTTTTTGATGTAGAAATATTGAAGCTTTTTCACCTCAATATGTTGTTATTGCCACTGCTATTTTGGTGTTCTTTTGTTGAATGTCGTCTTGTGTTCTTATTTTATGGTACTTTATCCCTTGTTGAGGTCTTTTGGATGAAGATCTCTACTAGTCCGGTTGACTGTTGTTCCTATCAAGCCTTTGTTCTGGATCCTGAAGCTTTCTCTTCTTTATGTGGTTCTTTCCATATCTTTTTCAAATTGTGGCAAAAAGGGAGAGAAATGATCTTGTGAGACAAGATGTTCTAGCTTGATTTTCTGTGTTTGGAGTTGATCTGATCTCTTGATGTGTAGTAACCACCTTACTTCAGTTGCTACAATTTTCTTTGTTGTTTATGGTGTGCTACAAATATCTTGTAAGTTGTTTTAGTCAAAATTTGTCAACGAGGGAGATTGTTGTTCCTTTTGATTGGTTGTATTAGGTAAAATAATATATGTACAAAATATATTTTGTGCAGAGACAACACCTGAAACAAGATGTTTCAACATGTGTTCTAAGATCTGGTCTCAGTATGTCACTTATATTTTATGAAGAAATAACTTACTTATATTTAAACATTTTTTCGATAGAAATTAAATATCATTTACGCACACTTATAGAGATTAATTTCCAAGTCGAAAAGAACCGCAATGATCAATAAAATTATCATTTAAAAGAATTTAACACAATTGCATATTTAAACTTTTATACAATTAAACTCTTTAAGTCATATTTTTTTTTAAAAAAAGTGGAAAGAAATCAAACAGAATAAAGTGCAAATGTGTAAATGAGCGATACAAAATTAGGCAGAATAACTTGTTTGGAGAAAAATAAAATATATATAAGAATAAGCTTTCAGCGTAGGCTAAAAACACTTCCATTCCATGTTGTTCTTCTCCTGAACTTGATGCATTCTTATTCTTCTTCAAAACTTCCAACTATGTAATGAATGTTGCGTATTTCTCTTCCTTTCATCTTCTTCCACGTTGCTTCACAACCAACTCCTTCTTTTGGAATCTCCAACAATGTTTTGTACCGTTTCTCTGCCGCCTTAGCCTTGACCCTTAAACAAATTTAGTTTCATTGTTTCTTTTCCACCACCAAAGTTGCAATTTTTTCGTTTTGTTTCATCTGGGTCACTCACTGTTTGATTCGAAGAAAAAAAACACATCACAATGAAAAAAGTTGTTTTTGAGAAGACAAAGAAAACAGGGAGAAACGACAGGTTTTTGGTTACTATAAACATCATGGGAAGTTCGGGTCCTATAAGGTTTGTGGTCAATGAGAAAGAGCTTGTTTCTGGAGTCATTGATACTGCTCTTAAATCCTATGCAAGAGAAGGAAGGATTCCTGTTCTTGGTTTCAATGCTGCCAATTTTCTTCTTTACCATCCAAACGCAGGATTTGATGGTATGCTTGATCCCCTGTCACCGATATCTCTAAAAAATACGTGTTTGTGTCAGTTTAGGTGTCTGAAGTTAACCGTCACTTTTGATTATGTTTAATTTATTTTATTTTTTAAAATTATTATTAATATCAACAGTGATTATGGGTGTCGTATTTCTAGTATCAGTGTTTGTTGTTGATCCTTTTTGTAAATTGTAACTATATGCTAAAGATTTATTTTTATTGGTGAAACTTTTTTGATAGCTTTGAATCCAATGGAACCCATAGGATCTTATGAGGGGAGGAACTTTGTGATGTGCAAAAAGCAGGAGTACGCATCAAAGAAAGAACCGCAATCAGAATTGATATCTCCAAAGAGCAATGGTGGCTGGAAAGCATGGTTAAACAAATCTTTTCGGTTGAAAATCTTGTCACATTGATTGATTAGATATGAATTGTGAAGGTGTTAGGAAATTGCGTTTGAATTCTGAATTGTGCTCAATGTCCCACTATATGACAATGGCCTTAGCATTGAAGTGTATATGTTCTTCAATTGTTCATTATTAATACAAAAAAGTGCTTGTACTTTAGAAATTAATATCATGGGTAATTGGTTTCTTTATATCACATGCGACACGTGCTTATATTGACTTTGAAATTTATCTTTAAACCATTATAGCATATGAAGTCAAGTTTGGAATATATTGAAAACATAAGGGGGAGTGGAATTCTCATCATTGAATGTAGCCATAGCCCCAAAATCAGACAGAAATAGAGATAGGTGTTTGGCATACCCCCGGCTTGTTTTGGTTAGGCTACTGAAAACAAAACAAGAAGTATATTATTTTTTATAGTTTGAAAAATAAGAATTTCATAGTTAAGTGTGATTGATTTTGAGTAGTATTTGAATGAGTAATCTTTTGAGAAATTTTTCAGATAGCGTGTGAGTGAGGATAAATCGTCTTGAAAAAATTTGTGTTGGTTTGTGGGGTCAGTCGGTATTTCTAAAAGCAGCCTAAGAGTTACAAATGGTATAAGAGTCATACCTCTCCTAGTATGATGTGGTTCGGGGACGAACCAAGCGGAAGCTGGTGGAAATGTAACACTAGTGGCCGAAGAGAGCGAGGAGTGGTCCACGATTCACATCGGATAGAATGTACAATGCTCTTAAATAGAATACAAAAAATTGTAAGATACAATGCACTTAAGTGAAATATTGTAAACCATAAGATAGAATGTACTTAGTAGATTTTTCAGCTTGTAATCCACACAAATGGTTCTATAAATAAAAATCTTGTGCAGAAGATTTGATGCTTAACGAATTTTAGTTTCTCAAACCATAATCACACTTGTCTCTCTTTCAATATCTTCATTCATAACAATTAGCACTAAAATTGAAGACACTTTATTCGTTAGGACTAAGTAGAGATAATATTTAGTTGATTATAAATCAATTTTGTAAAGATGAATTAAGTCAAAGTGTAATACGATATCACTCTAATAAACATGATCAATTACAATATAGAGTAGTTGGAACTTATTCCTCAACCCTACCATACCAAAAAATAACGTAACCCTACCAAAATAACTACAAAGTGAAAAAATGCATTTTGATTTCAAGCATAAACCTTTCTTAGGTCTAAAGTGTGGCTAAAGGATGAGGTCCAAGGTCCAAAACTGTAAACTTAATCAATATTAGTTTCATTAAAGTAACGCAAAATGAATATGCATACCTTAAAAGTAAACTTATATTGTTTTTCTTTTCTTCGATCAAACATATACCGATTAAACTTAAAATACAATGTAAAATTTTGTTACCTGTAAATTGTAATTATATGCTAAAGATTTACTAGTACTAGTATTTTGTTATCTCATGAGTTGAGGAGCTTTGTGCTGTAATAAAAAGGCATCAGTCAGAGGTGTTATCTTCAAAGAGCAACGATGGCTGGAAAGCATGGTCAAATGTAACATGTGCTGATGTTGACTTTAAATTTCACTTTTAATCCATTCTAGCATATGAAGTCAAGTTTGGCATATATTGAGAGCATATAGGGGGAATCTGATTCTCATCATTGAAGGTAGTCTTGGCTGCTTAAAGAAAGGTTGTAACTTATAAGTTAAATATGTTTTGTTTGTTTTATATGGACCATAGAATGTAGTAAGAAAAGAATAAATTTGAGGGGTTAAGTTTCTTCTCATATTAGCTGAATATGATAAATGTTAGTATTAAATTGAATGTTTTAAAGTTGATTTTATAATGCATTTGACGATAATTTTTTAAATTAAGAGAAAAAATTCTTGTAATTAATGGTATATTTGAAAATGATGGGATGTGGAAAAGAACAATTTACCCCCAATGCCACCTTGCTACACCTCATCAATTTAAGGGCACTTTGGGTCATTATCCAACAAATCGTAACTATTGAACTAATTAATTGGTTGAGAACTACACCATTTAGAGAGTGCTATGTAACTGAAGAAAAACATCCAGTTACTTCAAATTGTTGCAGCCTTATCTTTCTTTTTCATGTCCCATTCCAACTACACACGTGTTTTTACACGGTCTCACACTTTTCTACTCATCACCTCTCTCTACCACAACTTCTCATCTTATTCTCTCTTTTATTCGTCTTTTATCTTTTAATTTTATTGGGCTTCAGATTTCTTCGTTTTCTCTCTCTTTGAATTTTGATTTTGATTTACTGTTTGTTGTTTTAGATTTGGTGGTGTTGGCTTGTTAGAATTAATTTAGATTTTATAATTAATTAGATATAATTTATATTTAGAAATATCTTTTAGATTGTTTATATCTTTGTTAGAAGATATATATCTTAAATATTCTTATATCTTTGTTAGAAGATATATTTTAGATTTAATTTTGTGTATAAATAGCCTAGTGGAGTAGGTTGTTGTAATTCATTGTAAATCCTTATTTTGAAGCTGTCAGTAAATATTTCTTTTACCTTTTATATCTTTCTTGTGCACCAACAATTAGTATTTAGAGCTCCTGGTTAGAAACTCTGGAATTTGGGAACATTATTTTCATTGAGTTTCTGCGTAAATTGCACAAGGTAGAAGATGAACAAAAACGGCGGCGATATCCATTCCAAGCTTCCAGTATATGATGGTAAAAACTGGAATCATTGGAAGATCCAGATGCGTGTGTTATTTAGTTCTCAAGATGTGTTAGATCTTGTCATCGATGACTACAATCTGTTAGAAGCAGGCGCAACAGAGGCACATAAGGTAGCACAGAAGACGCTGAGGAAGAAAGATCAGAAGACGTTGTTCTACATTAATCAATGTGTGGATGTGAATGTGTTTGAGAATATTGCTGATTCTGAAACAGCGAAGGCTGCATGGGACACACTGGTAAGATGTTACGATGGTGACTCATCAGTGAAGAAGGTGAAGCTTCAGTCTCTCAGAAAGTAATATGAGAATCTCAACATGAAGGACAACGAGAAGGTTTCTGAATACATCTCTAGAGTGATTCTGATCACTAATGAGATGAAAGCTTATGGAGAAAATCTGTCTGAACAAGTAATTATTGAGAAGATCTTGAGATCTTTAACTTCTCAGCTTGATTACATTGTGGTAGCAATTGAACATTCCAAAGATCTGAGCACCATGAGAGTTGAAGAGCTGCAAAGTAGTCTAGAAGCCCATGAGTTGCATATGACTGCAAGAACTTCTAAGAGGGAAGTATAGCAGCAGACTATGAAAGTAACTTCTGGTAAGAAGCATCAGAAGTAGATTTGGTCAGAAGCCAGGAAGAAAACTAATGGTGGTCAAAGGTCAGAAGTTTCAAACTCTAATAGGCAGAAGAATGTCCAGAAGGGAAAGGAGAAGTCTGATAAGAAGAATATTCAGTGTTACTGTTGCAAGAACTTTGGTCACTATGCCAGAGATTACTGGTCTAACAAAGAAAGAAAGTCAGAAGAAGCAAATATAGTAAGAGGATAGTCTGATGATGAACCTGTGCTATTATTGGATTCTGAACCTAATGATCTGAATTCATCAAAATGTTGGTATATGGACACAGGGTGTTCAAACCATCTTACTGGAAACAAGAAGTGGTTGGTTGATTTTGACTCTGGGAAGAGTAAAAAGATCATATGTTCTGATGATAAATACCACAATGCAGAAGATATGGGAAATGCCAAAATCATTCTAAACAATGGGAAAGCAACGGGATCCAGAATGTTTGGTATGTACATGGCATGAAAAGCAATTTGATGAGTGTGGGACAAATGATTGAGAAAGGTTTTTCAGTTACCATGAAGGACAATGTTCTGAAGCTGTATGATTGTAATCAGAAGCTGATTATGGAGTCAGAACAGGGAAGGATTAGAATATTCAAGGTGAATGTTAGAACTACAGACTCTGAATGTCTTAGTGCAACAATTGTTGTCAAGGAGAGTGAGCTATGGAACAGAAGATTTGGTCATCTGAATGTCAGAAGTTTGGGGCATCTGAAATCAAAGAATTTGGTACATGGAATTCCTACAATCAAGAAGCCTGAGAAGTCATACAAGGTGTGCATGGAAAGGAAGCAACCAAGATTACCATTTTCATCATAAGTAGCTCCAAGAGCAAAACATACCTTGGGAGTGGTACATTCTGATGTGTGTGGTCCATTTCCAGTAGCATCGACTGAAGAGAATAAATATTTTATGTCATTTGTTGATGATTTCACCAGAATGACATGGGTATCTTTCATAAAGTTCAAACACGGGGTGTTTGCTGAATTCAAGAAGTTCAGACTGAAGGCTGAGAATCAGAGTGGCCAGACTCTGAAGATTCTTAGAATTGATGGTGGTGGTAAGTATAACTCCACAGAATTCAGAAGTTTCTGTGAGGATAATGGAATTGAGCATGAAGTTACTGCTCCCTATACTCCTTAACACAATGGTATTGCTGAAAGAATAAATCGTACTTTGCTTGATATGGTGAGAAGCATGCTGAAAGAGAAGAAGCTTCCTCATACTTTGTAGGGAGAAGTTGTTGCAACTGCATGTTATGTGCTCAACAAATGTCCAACGAAGAAATTGAAGGAAATAGTTCCTATTCAGAAGTGGACTGGAGATAAGAAAAATGTTATTCATCTGAAGGTGTTTGGTTCTGTATGTTATAAATATGTCCCAGAAGCCAGAAGACATAATTTGGATGATAGAAGTAAAGTAATGTTGCTGGTGATGTACCACAGTACATGTTCGTACAAACTTTATTGTCCCAAAACTAACAAAGTTGAGTTTAGCAGAGATGTCATTGTAAAGGAATCATAAGTTTGGAATTGGGAAAGGTCTCGTCTTGACTCTGATGAGAGAAATCCTGAAGAAAAGTCAGAAATACATGTTTCTGAAGCTGGTAAAAACTCGGACTCTGAAGAAGATACAGAAGAAGAAGAGGATTATGACTCTGACTCCGATGGTGATCC